GATAATACAGGTTTTTTAGAAATATGAGAAATACACTTTTTAAGTCTGACAATAATCGTCAAATTGATAGATACCAATCATGGGTGTTCTGCCTATTTTTTAAATTTTTTTAACAGTATAAAAACTTTGTTATTGTTTCTCTTATTATGCTCATTTTTCATATAGAAAAACTCAAGTTTAAAGTTAGTAAGAAGCCTAGATAAACAGTTAATATGTAATTGAGTGATGGTTTGAATGAGAACAGTCTAATTCAAGAATCTATTTATTGCACAAAGTAAGTTTATTTTTAAAAGGGCAGATTAATGAACATAAAGTTTCTATAAACTAATTTTTTTTACTTTCTTCTTAGGAAATTTGTGATTACTGGTAAAAATAACCAAATTACCCATAAAGTATATTTTTACTTTACCTGAATCTCTATAATATGTAGTATAATTGGACTTATATTTAGGTATCTTTCATTGTATTACTTTACTAAAGATTTTATTGTTTCTGTATATATCTAAACTTACTATTTTTACTTCCCTTCTTTGGTAATATGAATAAGAGTATAACTTTTTTATTGCTGAAACTGTATCCATATGGAGTTCCCTTCTGTGAATCTGGTCAAACTGTAAAAGACTATTTTAAGTAAAATTATTTATATAATAATTCATTCAACTAATAGAGTACCAAGTCAATGATTTACTTTAATTAATGCCTATCTCATTTCTCTGGAGGGAAATAAATCGTAAATGATGAGTGATAGATTTCTATAAAGTAATTTTGCAACATTGTTTTTGCTTTTAAATATTTTAGATAGTAATAAATTAAATGTTCAAGTGTCTCATTTTCATCTTTTAAAATCATGGATTTATCACTGAGCACCAATAGTTGTGACCCCAAAACAATAAAATAAATATATAAATGAATTTTTAAAATGGAACCATGCTTAAATGTTTATGCTTAAATATATATCTATATAATACTCAAGTTAGGAACTAAAACGGCTCTTAAATGGAAATTAAAATGTTTCACTTTAGTAATGACAGTTATTATAGCTAATTCTAGAGTATGGGTATTATAGATAACGACTCCCTATAAAAACTCCATGTGTATATTTTGATTTTGCCCCAAATATACTACTAATAGATTTCTACTGACTGGAAGTCTTACCAATAACATAAATAAATTTTGAAGTTATCTTAGTCACCTAAAGCACTCTTATAATAAACTGAAGAAAATATTAAGATAACCACAAAATAGGAGAAAATACACATAAAGTACTACAGTCAAGGATACCACAAATTCATGTATCTATTTTAAAAATTAATGTTACTATTATTGACATAACATGGTTCGCAACCATGTTAATGTTTATGCCTTAGGTAGCACTGTAGCATTCTCCTCCTGTTGTTCATCAATTTGCTCAAGCGGGTCCAGTAACGTCTCCATTGTGAGATTTGTTGTTACTGAGTTTGGCATATCAAATACTCCATGGGTAGCTTGCCAGGCTTTGCTGTGCGAGCGAGATACATTCTGTAGCTTGCAGGGCTCTCCAAGAGGGGTGGAGGAATCAAACACGGCTCAGTTGGGCTGGCCGTGTGCAAGGCAAACGCCCTACCACTGTGCTATCGCTCCAGCCCATGGAACGATATGCCTGATATGCCTTAGGTATACCAAGTTGTTTACATAGTACCACCACCGTGTGCCAAAAATATTTCAACATTATGCCATGTCAATTCAAATCTGCCCCCTTCCTTCAATATAAGACAGTCTGTGTCCAAGTGAACCTGTTTCAACACATATTCCCCAAGGATAAACTGTACTCATGGAAGTATAAGGATAAGACAATAGCAAATATCATCAAGTGAATATCATTTAAGGCTGAAGCAATAATTAATTCCCAACAATGTTATTAGTTGCCTGTTAGGGTTCTATGACTAATAACACTAACATATGGCAACTGAAAAAAAGACATCATATAAGTTCTCAAAATTCTGTGGATGTGGGACAGAGTAGAGTTCAGACTCATACTCCACATGTGGCTGACTCCAAGTTTGTTCCTTAAGGGTTCCACACATTGCTGGAGGTAAAAACTGGGTGGCTGGGTAATCCCCAGAACCACAGAACCCAGGCAGGATAGCGTTCCCAGGCCCTGACACCGAACTAGTAGCCAGGGTAGCAGAGACTGAACTGTAGTGAGTCCCTGACCAATTGGGAGACCTGCCCTCCCCACAAAAATATTTTGTTGGCCAACATAATCCTTTGTGTTTGCTTGCAGGAAAGCTGAAACTAGGTAGATGCAGGTGGCATGCCTTATTTCCTCTGACACTTTTTGCCTTGGAGAAGTTATGTAGGGATTCCTCATAAATAGTCTCTAGGTAATATTGCAATGAAGGGAAAAGAAGGTTCATTGCTTTTTAAAACTTAAATTCGAAAATCTTCCAATATGAATTTCATTACATTCTATTGGTCAAAGGAAGTCACCCACCATAATCTAAGGGTGGGGCACTAGATTTCACGTTTTTACAGAATAAACTATAAAGGAACATCACAAAGACATACACACACATACATGTGGTTATGTAGTGACAATTATTTTAACAATTTACTATACAAACGAAATGACATCTCAATGCATTCCCTTTTGAGAAGTAAAATGCACATTCTCTCTAACCTCATGCTGAGATTTAAAATGTATTATACTGGTTTGAGAGTCTCATACATCATCACAAATTGTGCTATATGGCATTTTAATGAAACTTGGAAGCTTTCATCTTTTCATAATATAAGAAGAGCTCCTTTGAGATGTTTTCATCTCAGCCATAAAAAGAATATGAACATTATTAAAAGGAATTTCAGCAGATGTCATAAATAAGACATATTAAGATAAGCTGTTGGTATAAAATATTTAAGTATTTCTTTTCTTTTAAAATATCTATCAAAATAATAACAAAAAAGAACATGAGAAAGATTTCAAGTAAATAGTTTGCAATTTTTTGTCAGTGGACTTTTCAGCATGCTGAGTCTATTGGAAGTATGTCAGACATATCAGTGGCTTGCTAAAAGGAAATAAAACATTCCTTAATATTGAGAGTGGGGTATTGGGCTGCAGTCATCTTTATGTAGGACTTACTTCTGATTCTGTATTCAGGGATCACTCCAGGCAGTTTTGGGAGGTCATATATGGTGTTCAAGATAGAAAGATTGAAGGGTTGGCAGCATGCAAGGGAAGTTCTGTACCCCCTTTAGTAATTCTCTGGATCCAAGAACTAAAGTGTATGTTAAGTCTTAGCCTATAAAACATTAAAAACGATTGTCCTATACTATCTAGTTTAAAATCCACCTTCACTATTCATCATTGAACACTTAATACATTGCACACATCATTTATTTAACTGTTTGCTAACTCAAAACAACTCAAAACACTATATAAGAGATATAACATGCTTTGACCAATTATCAGAAAAGAAAATTGAAGTTTAGAAAGTTAAATCATTACCAGGAGTAGTCAAACTGAAGTCAGTGTTGGAGGCCTTTGCTTGGATTTTTTTATTTGCTTGCCTGTTTTGTTCTCATGATTCTATTTGAACACCATGAAATGCCTGGATCAAACCAGGGTTGGCAGCATGCAAGACTTAAGTACATTTCTATTCCTCTTACAGTTTGCCTGGTTTTTGGTGTCATCACTCACTTCCTAACCTATTTGTCATAAGCTATTATCAGGCAGACAAAATTTCTGAAAAAACTTACCACTTACTAAATTATAAGTTGGAGGAATAACAGGCATATCTTCAGTGCTAATTTTTAAAGTAACAGGTAGTAGAACTGGTATGTTCCATGGATTTTTCCTTTTAATTTCAAAAAGTTGTTTGAAAAATGAGTTATGTTAGTTTTACTCTCAATTTAAGAAACAGGCTTAAGAAAAGCCATGGCAGCTCAAATAATTTAAATCAGAACCTCTGATTAGAATTTTTAAAATATATTTAGAAAACTAATAAAGATCAGCTAGAGTTGCCATTACTAAAATTTCTTGATATATATCTAGAAATATTGATGTTAATAGCAAACTAGAAGATAAAGAGCTAATTAAATAGTAATAATTTTATAATTATTTTAATATTTGAGTGTTTGTAACTTTTAATTAAACATAACAGTAAAAGTGCTTATTTTAAAACATGTTTTCTGAAGGAAATACACTTTGCTAAAATTTAACAGTTAACATAGATTACATTTTAATGACTCTTGAAGGTTCTTCTTGGGAGAAGACAATTTGAAAAACAAAGTTATTACATTTGAAAAATATATCTAAATTAATGCCTAGATTAAAATCAATTTCTACAAGAGCATTTAAGAAAAACAAAGAAAAGAGCATTAAGAAAAACAAGGTATTACTTTACTGTTCAATTTCATAACAGTTTAAAACATAATCTCTTGTGAATAATTTGAAAGGATTGTCTCTATGAGAAAAAGATCACATATATATTTTTCTTGTTTTCAAAACCTACTCCCAAATTAAACCTGTTTAAAACACTAGAATACATTTACCATGTTGTTTTACTGCATACTTTATATGGAGTTTATTTATTTTGAATTAAATAATTTTATTTAGGAAACATGAGTGTTGAGAGCACAACAAAGAGAATCCTATCAAGAAAGTAAGAGAAGAGAAATTATTGGCCCAGGACTGGAATATAGGTAATTCAAGAATGGGTGCTAGTTAATATGCACTTTAAACAATCAGCAAAGCATTATTTATCACTGTGAAAATATGAGTGTAAGTTAATATACATATAATATTTTAGTCCTGTGTCTATAAAGTGCATGAGATTAGTACTGCTAATATATTTTGGCTTGCTAAATTACCAGTAATTTCATTTGCTAAGATCACCATGTTATATTTTTCAGTTCTATAGATTCAGTAACATGTAATTAAGTTGGCACTTACTTCAGAAACATACCGCTTATAATCATAATGGGTTTTTGAGGCACGGTATCTCATCCTAGATTAAACTTACCAGCAAATTTGATATGGAATTTATTTTCAGGCTTTAATATCTGGACATATAAAGGGCAATTTGGAGCAAAATCTTTTACTGCCCATGCTCTCAAAATTGTTTGGTGGTCCTGAAATGAAAGAAAATCACAATACCACAAATAAATTAGAAATGTATACTATTTAAAGTAGACATCATTGGAGTGTTAAATGGTCCATATCCAAGTTTTTTACATTAAACACACGAAATCACTCATTGTGAGGCTTATCTTTAAAGGTATTTACTATTTCTACAAAAGAGAAAAAATGTAGTTCATTCAATGCTAATTATTGGCACAAAGAAAAATAGATAGAGGTTAAGGAATATGTCTCTTGATAAATTTGAAAATAATTTACCAATTAAACTTAAATGGTCAGAAGATCTCAGAAATGCAACACAAACCAACAGTTTGCTAGTATGACAAATAACTGTCTGCAATAAGCTTATAATAACTGTTAGCATTAAAACATGGTAATAATAGTTTCCTTAAAAAAATGGTCTTGTACTCCTACATTAAAAAATGGTCTTAATTATTTTAATATTGTCCTGAAGACTGTAAAAGGGAAATGAATATAATGCATCTACAAGTACAGAATATTTTATAGTTTTATATAGCTGTAACAGCAGAGATTTGATGTGTTTTGTGTTAAATGAATCAATAATTTCTAGATAGTAAAAAATAATATCAAAAAGTTTTAAAAATGATGCTAAAGTTTTGAATGGAAATGAAAAGCCCGCTGAACATGATATCTAATATATATATATAATATATAGTGACATAATATATAATGTCACTTCATAAGACACTTAAATAACTAAGTAAATAAAACAATTATTAGCAAGATAGACCACAGTAAACAAAAACATTTTAAGCTAATGAACAAAAGCATGTTCTTAGTTAGCATTGCTACACAGCAGCTATTAATCATTCTTGGCTCTAAAATTTATGTCAACTATAATGATCCAAACTCAGTTCCCTAGTTACACTAGTCAGATCGCAAGTGTTCAGTATCACATGTGGATAACAGCACTATAATGAGAAATGTAGATGTTTACATCATTACAGAAAGTTTTAGTTCACAAAGTTTTAGTTTTTGTTATGGGAAATAAGAAAAATGATTAAGCCATACAGTCAGTTATTAGCCTCTATTTATAAAAAGGTCAAAAGAAACTGCTGTTGAATAAAGGGAGAGAACAGAAATCAAACTTTTGTGTAAAAACTTACAAAATAGAAATTGGGAAGACACTACAAATGATAAAACACATATCCAACAGCTCCCAGGTTCTGAGTTCTGTCTATTCTATGACCCCCTCACATCCCTGGGTCCAGTCCTGATGGTAGCTGAGCTATTTGTCGCTAACGGCTCCTAGAAGTAGGTAGCCCCAAAACAAAACTTGCACATTGGTCTCCCCTGAGCCATGTTTGATTCAGAAATAAAGCAGTCTTAATGGAATATAAATCGCTTACAACTGCTAAAGTGGTAGAGTTGTTGTTTTGAGTCTAACCATATGCACCTGCTTGCTGATGGGAGTGCATCAACAGTCTTTGCTGAATACAATAGAATCCAAGAGGACACAACTTAACATAGTACCCATAATGCATTGCAGCATCACTCTAAATAGGGAATATCAGGGAATGTAATCTATTTTCACAGTGAAGAAACAAAGCAATATCCAGTAGGTGTTAGATTCTAACAGAGGGTTCCAGATTTATATAACAAACCATACCCTTTTCAGAAAAAAAAAAGCACCTGGTGCCCCATGGCAGGGGTGGAGGGGGGAAAATCTACCTTCTTTAAAAGAAAAAACAAAAAGTGTCCCAAATTCCATCTAAGGTTACTACTTTCCACTCTCCCCAAACCATTCCAATGCCCAACATTCCCACTACAGTAGTACAAATCTGGGAAACATTGGAGTAGACAGCTCATCTAGATATTCAACTATCAGATTGGAACTTAAAACAGTTTCCACAATTATGACAATGAGATAAGCAAAAATCATGCTGATGAGGAAGAAAAGCTGAGCAATAAGAGAAATTTTCAATTAACCATCTAAAATGTTTTAGAACACTTTATATATTTTTTCCTTTTCCTCGGCCGGGGAGCCGGAGGATGCTGCTGCGTGCACCCGAATCAGCACGTACTTGAAGACGCCGTCGGGGTCGATGTCCACGTCGGGGACCTGGGCCAGCACCACTCCCGCCACCATGGCCCAAAGTGCCTGAGGCTCCGCCACTCGGGAAGGGGCGGGCGCCCTCTTATGGCTGGAGCGATAGCACAGCGGGTAGGGCGTTCACCTTACAAGCGGCCAACATGGCCAACCCGAGTTCAATTCCTCTGCCCCTCTCGGAGACCCCGGCAAGCTACGGAGAGTATTCCATATGCCAGACACAGTAACAACAAAGTCTCCAATGGAGACGTTACTGGGCCCGCTCGAGCAAATCGACGATCAACGGGAGGGCTGATCTTCTTCTTCTTCTATATATTTTTTCAAAATCATTGTGTATTTATTTTATCTCAGTCCATGGCAAACATGTCTATTAAATAAATGGTTATTCTGGGTTTTTTTTAAAAAATTTTATTAGTGAGACACCATGAGGTACAGTTGTAGACCTACAAATTTTGTGCTTGGGTTTCAATTATACAATGATCAAATAACCACCTCTCCACCAGTGCCCATTTCCCACCACCACAAATCCCATCTGAGAAATATTCACTTCGTGGGTTTTGAAACATTTGGAGGATGATTCAGAAGAGAAGCCATGAACTTGATCATAGATGAGTAGAATTTACAATTTTTTTAATCAAAGAGAAGAAGAATGGACAGAGGAACAGAGTTCAGGGGCTTGGAAACAATATATAAAGGCCTTGTGAATGCAATTACATGTTCAAGGAGAAGATAAAAGTGAAAACTGGACAGGAAATGAACGAAAGAAATACTGGCCAGTGACTTCCCAATTGGTGGAGTAAAAGTCAGGGCATCTCCTAAGCAGACCTTAGGAGATCTGCCATCTCTGCCCCGCTCCAGGAGATTCACAGGCAACCTGGCACACAGGCAGATATACAGTGCTCCTCAAACCCTGTCCTGCCAGGGATTATTTAGGTCACCCCTGCAATACTCAGGAACATCTAGGATTACCCTGCAGGGCTTGGTGCCCTCCAGGAACAGACTTCACAGTGCTCAGGTTATCTAGAGCTGCATTTACCAAGTATGTAGAACTATGTGATAGAGGAGATTCACCCACTATCAGTCAAGAGCAGGCCAATCATCCATGTCTCTGGCCCAACACATCAACTTTATAAAACAAACAAATTTACAAATTCTGGGACTCAGAAAAACTTAAACTGCATGATGGAAAGCAATTACACGAAATACATATGGTATAGTTAAATTACTGGAAACTTGAGTGCAATGTAGAAACTTGAACGCAACCAAAGAAAAGTGAAAAGAGTAAGGATTTGTCAGAACTTCTGGAAATGAGGTGAGAATAGAATAGAATCTAAAGTTCAGAATGAAGAAAGAGAAGAAATACATTAGACCAGAATTATATAGAAACAAAATTCCTCAAGTTTCATGCAACGAAATCTAAGAAAATGACTTACTAGAAAAATCATGCTACAACTTAGAGGCCAAGAAACTTTATGTTTTTGCTTTTTGGCTCACACCTGGCGATGCACAGGGGTTACTCCTGGCTCTGCACTCAGGAGTTACTCCTGGCGGTGCTCGGGGGACCATATGGGATGCTGGGAATCGAACCCAGGTTGGCCCCGTGCAAGGCAAATGTTCTACCCATTGTGCTATCTCTCCAGCCCCATGGCCAAGAAACATTTTTAAGCAGAAAGAAATTGATAGAGAAAAGTTAGTATTTTAGAAATCAAAGCACATACTCAAAATGGGTAATATTTGGTGAGTACAAGATGTGTTATTTCTGTTTCTAAGAATACATATTTTTGTAGTAATGCAAAATTAATATCTTGTGAGGTTGTATGGAGAAAATTGACAGTGGGAGACTAAAATTTAAAGCACAGTAAAAGCAGAATAAGAGTCAAATTTCTCATTTTAACACTGATACAATATTAATGCAAACCTAAGGCTATGAAAATTCAACTGTATACTCTGGTCTCAGGAGCAATGGCTAAAACAATCAAAATGCGTTTCTGCAAAAAACTACCGGTTTATTATAAAATGCAATGAAAACAGTGGCTATCAATTCTTCCAAAGACACAAAGGAAACTCAAATGTATATTGCTAGTGAGAAGATTTGGTCCTAAGAGATGTGACAGATAAGATTCAAATCATCATGTGATCCACTAAGAGACATGATCCAAAAAAAAAGATGATGTGATCCAAAAACAAACACAAGATTGTTTTTAAAATCTACAGCTTTATACTTAAAAAAAAACTAAATGAGGCCAAAGATACAAAATAGGAATTAAGGCTCTAGACCCCAGCTTGACTCAGACACTGCATATGGTCCTCTGAGAACCTGCTGGAATGATTCCTGAGCACAAACAACCATGGCTCAAAATCAACACAACAAAATTAAAACAAAAATTAGCTGTATAAAAATTATTTGCTGGCATTTTACTGATTTTAAATTAATCACTTTACTCAAAGCGACAAGGTTTTACTAAACTCCAAAGACCTGTAAAAGAAGTCAGACATTATGGTAAAGTGTTACATATGAATTTACTCACATCAGTCTCTGTAGAAACCTGTAATATGTATCTATATATGTATATATACATATATACACATATACATATATAGAACTCATGAAGCAATATGAGAATGTAATCATAATGCATTGAATATATACTATCATTAATTGGCTTTTTTTATTAATTAGTGAATTAAAGGAGTGACATAGTTCACTGTAATGTAGCACTATAGCACTGTCCTCCTGTTGTTCATCGATTTGCTCAAGCGGGCACCAGTAACATCTCAGAACAAATTGTGAGACTTATTGTTATTGTTTTTGGCATATCGAATATGTCATGGGTAGCTTGCCAGCCTCTGCCGTGTGGGCAAGATAGTCTCGGTAGCTTTTGGGCTCTCCAAGAGAGGCAGAGGAATTGAACTTGGGTTAGC